TGCTCCTCCACTTCAGTTAGTCTATAAGGTGCCACAGGACTCCTTGTCGCTTTTGCAGATTCAGACTAACATGGCTACCCCTCTGACCATTGAACTTAGCACCCTAGTTCACTGCCCCTGGTACAGATGCCATCCTCCACAATTGCCCCTGGCTAATGGAAGCTGCAGAACCAGCGGGAACAGCATGTAGAGCTTCCCTGATCACCACTGGGCCTATGGGCTGCAGTAACATGGCAGCTACTTCCAGGAGCTGCTCAGAATCAAGGCAAGCTGGAAGCTTACCTTAGTCCTGTTGTGCCAGCAAGTGGACTTCTAGGACTGGAGCCACTACGGTCCCTTTTCAACCAGGCATTGCAGTCAAACACCAGATGTGTGGCTAATTATTAATAGGGTAATGTAGGACAATCCTGGACAGCTATGTTCTATTCACAAAGTATCACCCAAATCAGGTCAGTGGAACAGTGCAGGGGTATGAACAAGATACTCAAGGCTAACAGTGCCACAAGACAACTATGCCTCATACATTTGAAGGTATCTTATTAGTTATCAGAATGACCTTCATAGCTGCACTTACGTTTCACAAATCTAGACAGTTCAAGGGCTCAGATTCTTTCCAGAGTCACTAATGTTGTATCCTCAGACAAGTCGCGCTGGCCCTGATTTTTCAGAAGTGCTAAGAATTCTCAATCTCCATCTATATGTGGATTTTTTCTATGTATATGCAGGAAACATTTATGTGCACGCACTGATCATGTGCAAATGGCACCACCAGGAGAAACAAAACCTATCTGTAGGTACTCTGCTATTCAGCAAGGTTGCATTTGACTCACTCCAGAACAGTGGCAAAAGTACCCAGCTTCCAGGGAACAAGTGCTAAGCACCCACCACTCTAACAATAAGCACTACAATTGGTTGAGCATTCCTTGAAATCTGGATGTCAGTATGTAAAATGTATTGCCTGATCACAGATTATTCTGACAATAAAATGCAGGACAATGTAGCACTTTAAAGACTAACAAGATGGTTTATTAGATGATGAGCTTTTGTGGGCCAGACCCACTTCCTCAGTTCAAATAGTGGAAGAAAATAGTCACAACCATATATACCAAAGGATACAATTTAAAAAAATGAACACACATGAAAGGACAAATCACATATCAGAACAGAAGCGGGATGCGCGGGGGTGGGGGGGGAAGGAAGGTAAATGTCTGAGTTAATGATATTAGAGGTGGGAAAAGGTAGATGTCTGTGAGCTAATGGTATTAGAGGTGATAATTGGGGAAGCTATCTTTATAATGGGTAAGGTAGTTGGTCAAAGTCTTGTTAAGTCCTTGTTGGCAAGTGTCGAATTTTAACATGAATGACAGTTCAGAGGATTCCCTTTCAAGTGCAGATTTGAAAGTCTTCAGTACCAGAATGCAGGTGGTTAAGTCGTTGAGACAGTGGCCTTTCTGGTTGAAATGGCAAGAAACTTTTTTCTTTGTGAACCTGTCTGATATCTGTTTTGTGGGCATTGATCCTTTGTCGAAGTGTCTGAGACGTTTGTCCAATGTACATAGCAGACTGACACTTTCGGCACATGATAGCATAAATTATATTTCTGGATGCGCAGGAATATGTTCTTGATCTTATAACTCACTTGGTTAGGTCCAATAATGGTATCAGCAGAGTGAATATGTGGACAAAGCTGGCAGCGGGGTTTGTTGCAAGGGAAGGTACCAGGGTTGGTATTAGTGTGGTATGTCCTGTGGTTGTTGGTAAGAATCATCTTGAGGTTAGGTGGTTGTCTATAGGAGACTATGGGTCTGTCTCCCAGAGCCTCTTGGAGTTTAGTATCCTGTTCCAGTATAGGCTGTTGAAGTAGATGGTTTCTAGGTATTCGTCTGGCTCTTTCAATTTGCTTTTTTGTTTCTCTGGGTGGGTAGTTGAGATTTATAAATGCTTGGTAGAGATCCTGAAGCTTCTGGTCTCTGTCAGTGGGGTTAGAGCAGATGCGGTTGTATCGAAGGCCTTGGTTATAGACGATGGATCGTGTGGTGTGTTCTGGATGGGAGCTGGATGCATGTAGGTAACTGTATGAGTCGGTGGGTTTTCTGTAGAGAGTGGTGTCTAATTTTCCATTGTTGATTTGTACGGTGGTGTCCAGGAAGTGGATCTCTCGTGTAGAATGGTCCAGGCTGAGGTTGATGGTGGGGTGTAGGTTGTTGAAATCTCTGTGGAATATCTCCAGTGTTTCTTGGCCATGTGTCCAGATCATAAAGATGTCATCGATGTACCGTAGGTAGAGGAGGGGTGAAAGGGGACGGGAGTTGAGGAAACGTTGTTCTAGGTCAGCCATAAAGATGTTAGCATACTGTGGGGCCATGCGTGTACCCATGGCTGTGCCGCTGATCTGGAGGTATAAGTTGTTCTCAAACTGGAAATAATTCTGACAATGTGAGGCTTAACCTTCATACAACGTTTGTCAATCACTAATAGTTGAGGCTATCTTCTCAAGAAATCACTGAGTCAGTTCCTGTTTCTCAGACTCAAATCCCAACCCTTCAGATAACATGTTCTCTCACTGTCAGACTTATTAAGTTTTTACTATGAAGAAGTACAGTGGGTACACCCAAGTAGTTGACAATTTTATATTGACAAAGCCCTTTATTTACAATGGATGAGTAAGAGCTATTCACTATTACTCCAAAGCATGTTTTCTTCAGAATTTACTGAACTAGCTCATGAAGATTTATCATCAAGATATGCAGGACTGACAAGCAGAATGTTTTTCCATTTCATTTTTATTTTGGTTACCAATTTTAACCGCATTGATACGGGAATAATTCATGCAAATCTATCACCTTAAATACAGCCAAGAGATAATTCACTTAAGAGGATTTTGAAGTGCTCCATAACTTAAAAACAAACAAACCAACCAACCACCACCCAAGGAAAAAAAAGTAAATGAGCAGCAATAAAATAAAGTGCATGTAGCCAAACTTCTTTAATAGGAACCTGGAGAAGTCTGTTCTTGCAACCCTTTGCTCTCATATACAAAAGAGTTGATCACTCTCCATAGGAGTCAGAGGCTGTTTCCTTAGTATATTGCAAGTATGAATGCTTCCACCAGTCTGTATTAAAGGAGTTCAGTTGTATTTTGCTTTTGTTTTAGATTAATTAAATTAATTGGCAATTATGTTCAACTTTGATTCTGTTAATATAACTTGCATAAGGCAATCTCCAGACTCAAGTGGCTACGGTTAGATACTCACTCCTAAGAACATTTCTCTGCTTGAATTAGCAATTTTGGTTTAAAAAAGGTTCAGGTAATTCTTACCCTTCTTGCCCTACAAACCAGGTTTCATTGTCACAGTGAGAATGCCCAAATCACCAAAATCTCTGAAGAAAGCATCAGCAATATCAAGCTCAAAAGCAAAACATCCTGTTCTGCTTTTCCCCAGCCTCTAACAGGGGGTTCAAAGACCATAGTATAGTGTCTGATTTAAAGCCTATGCCACTTTTCATATTTCATCTTTGAGTCTGCACAAAGACCTGGCCACATGAACAGTGCACACCTTGGAAAGTCGTATCAGCACTTCTCAGTGTCTGCATGTAGCACATTATCATCTTTCCTGCATTTAAGAAACAATATCCTATTGCAGCAGGGATTTGCCTCTTTGATTCATCAGCAAAGCGTATAATTTTCTGTAATACTGGATTAGCAGCTGGCAGCCTGAAGGTTGGAGTTCATCAACTGAACGTGCTGACGGAGCCTCTGCTCACATATACACCAAAGTACTGTCATGGATAAATCATTGTCAGAGGCTAGAGTTCAGTCTCTTTGCCTCTTCAGTCTTGACCTCAGGAACAAATTACTGTGGTGGCAACTGTGTTATTGTGAACATACATTCTTTGTAAAACAAGACAATTATTCCCACTCCTCAAAAGCTACTTAAGAGCCATCAATCAGATGGCCATAACCTTCTAATTTGAGCAGGATTCCAACCAACTAGCTATAAACAAAAGGTTTCTTTATCACATTACTAATCCCCTGGCAGAATCAATTCCCCTCCTTTCTATGCCAAAATGCAACTAACTAGCTTCCTGTTAATACACTGGAAAATCCCAAATCCTAGTGTTTTGAGGGTAAAATAACGTAAGTAGCTTAATGCTACTTCACTATTTATTCTCCTACCGACATCAGATAACATCTTCCTCCTCCTTTCTGGGCTTCTATATGAAGCAAGTATGTTGGATATAGGCACAAGAGTATCAACATCGACACATGAACAAGAAACCATTCTAAAGTCTGGTAATACCATTTTCAAGTATCATTGTCAACAAGTCCCCTTCAGGCTTTCTAATCTCAGCTGGGACTTCCTGAGAGTTATCCTGTAGTTTCTGCAGTGTTTGAGGCCAAATAGATCTACACAGTCACTGGACGGGAGACTCCACAATGGAGTACAATGCAGAGACTCCAATCCACCTCTGACTTCTGGAGATATGCCAAAGGAAAAAGCAAAGCCTCATCACTATATTTTGTGGCTAAGTATCTTCCGCAGCTGAAGAAAGCTTCCCAAGAAATGGGGAACCTTATCCTGCCACTACTGAAATCAATGGAAGTTTAACCTCCAGTTTCAATTGTAACAGGGTCAGGCCCACACTAATTCCTAAATATGTTTGGAATTAAACCGCATTTAGGGCAAACCCCCAAATCAAATCAAATCTATTTATTTAAAAAAGCATCAAAAAGTTATGCTGGCCCATTTCTTTGCTGGCATGGCATTTCCTCCCAGTACACCTCTCCTGGGCTCCACATGAGCTGCATTGGATAACCTCATCTGCATTCTGTTGTACAACCCGAAACTGAACCACAATACTGCACAGTGACATCCTACAGAAGCGCTACATGAAGCAAAATCTCCTACATTTTATAATCTACCCTGTCCTAGAGGCCATCTAGTGACAATGGAAATCCAGAAGACTGCATTCCAAAACCGGCATCTTAAAAAACACATTTCCCTACCTGTCTCAGATCCTGCTTATCTACCTCAGAAAGATATCAATTTATCAAGTCACCAAATGCAACTGCTATTTTCACTGACTCCGCAACTTAGCAATGACAGACAGTTTTGCCTCTGAAGTTACATGGGACTAGGCAAAAAGTTTTCTTAAACTGAAGAGCTTTGAGAAGGAATGTGCCCCAAACCCATAGAGATCAGGAGAAGCCCCAACCAAAAAAATATTTGTTTTCTGCTCCAGGATCTAAACATTTGACCCTTCTCTATGGAAAAAGCAAAAAAGAGCAGTGAGTCTCTCCCCCATAATATTGTAGTTGAAAAATGAGAAGAGTGGACAGGTCTCTGTATGGATGGTTAGTGTTATCTGCACCTGTAGATGCATGTGGGAGGAAGGAAAGGTCTGCGTTTAAATTAATAACTGCTTTTCAGACACATCTGATCTTGTGGCTTTGTACATCAAAGAATTATCAAGATCCATCTTTACATATTAAGGTTATAATTCATCAAGGGGAAAGCTTTGTTAGAATAAATCTGAACTGGATAAACTTTGGTGACTAGTAAGTTAAAAACAAAACACCAAAACCCCTGACAACTACCGTATTTCATTCTGCATGAAGCAGAAATTCCTCCTGGAAGTAGTCTAATCTCCTGGCAGGCAAGAAAAAAGATATACACAACGCGTGTGGAGAGGTTGGACATGATACAGGGAAGCAGAATCCCACTGTTCACATGATGACAGATCACACAACCACTCGTTTGTGCACGTGTTCCTTAGAGAGTCCATCATCCACCATGTTCTTTGCAGCGGTTGAGAGTGTACTGAAGTGAAATGTTTTGCCTTCCCACATTATCTGCTTTGCTGCAGGTATTGATGCGTGAACATGTTGAGTTCGCTGTCCAGCCAGCCTGCTTTATTCCTGCAAGAAAAAAGTCTCTGTTAGGCCTATACATTAAAGTTAATCATCATTCACTGCTCACTCTAGTGGCAAAGAACGGAGAGAGCAGACACAGAGTCCCATGACTAGATGCCTCTACTCCAGGTCAAGGAGCTTGCATAAACAATGGTCTATAAGTTTTGGGGTTCAAACCAAACCTAGTTGCAAGTTGAAAGTGATCTCATTCTTTGTAGGAGTGAAACATTTAAAAGGAGTTCCTTGCCCATCTGGAATGGAGGTGAACAGCAAAGAAACTCACATGCCCTGCAATGATGAGAGGAAAAGGCCAAAAAGGTCATTTGTATCATCTTAGGAAATGAGACTGGTTGTGAAAAACCATGTAGGACCCATAGTTTTCTTGGGTCTGTGATCCTGACCCAATCTAGAGTCAGGAGGAAAAAAATAGCCAAGTCCCAGATATCTGGCAATGCAGAAAAATCAGTTTTTTCTATAGAAGAAGGAATGGGCTGAAGATAAGTACGTGTCTGCTACCAAAGCTCCAGAAATATCCTGGAACTCTCTCTTCTTACAGGCTGGGTGAGGGGAATGCCATCTATACAAAAGGACGTGCAACAGATACACTGCATCTGTGGGTAGAAAACTCATCACCAACCCCTTGATTGCGATCGACTTGCTGATCATGGAGACTCCCCCAGTTGATCACAATCTCTATCAGGAAAGTAGGCTTGCTGATAAGCAGAGCTCCACGGCCAGCTGCAGCATGTGTTCAAGTGCCCTTCCCCCCTCCCCACGTGTTGCTCCCTCTTACAGCTGCTCCTGGGTGGCTGGCTGTGCACAGCAGGAAGGAAGAGGAAGGACTGATGTCAGAGTGTCCCTCTGTACCTCACTCTCCATAGAGCAGGGAAGAGGGAGGCCAGCTTGACTGGCTTGATCTCAGAGCACTCAAGTGTGAGAGATTGTCTCCATTTCCTAAATCTAAGATTTCTTCAGCTGCCAACTTTCACAGACTCTTCTCTCATATGTGTGCGTTTATACACACATTCTCTCTTGCTCTTCCCCTCCCTCCCTCTGCAAAGCAGGGGACAGGAGAGACAGCCTGGGTCAGGACAAAAGGACTGGAAGCTGCTATGATCTGAGGTCTACACTGAATGATGAGCGCCAGAGGCAGTGTGTACTGTTTGAGATTTCCATGGCAGCCAGCACTTGTTTGCTCTCACACATTCTCACCCACACACAATATCTAGGTTATACACAGTCTCTTTCACATTCACCTCCTAACACGTACTTGTTGACTGATCTATGAATTTCATTTTAATTTTTATTTCTCTTACACTTAAATGTAATTTTGAGTAGTGAGTTCTAACAAGCCTAACCTGTCCTGACTGGAGTTGTTATCCATATTGGCATTTTATATTTTATTTATACATATCATTTCTTGGTTTTGTTTCCATTGGTGGTTCCCATTGGTTGGGAAGGGGGAACTGCCCCCTCCCAGAGCCAGCACCCTATGCTCACTCCTGCACCTTCTGTCCCAGAACAGACCCTCCTCTCAGAGTAAGTATCCCCTCCTATGCTCCTGCTGCCCCGCCCAGAGTCCCTCCTATACCCAAATTCCCTCCTAGAGCTTGCCCCCTCACACCCTCACCCCCAGCTCAGAGCCCATACATCCTCCTGAACCCCAACCTCTTGCCTCAGCCTGGTAACATGAGAGTGGGGGACCATGAGCAACAGGGGACAGGGGAATAGAGTGGGGGCGGGTCCTCAGGAAAGAGGCAGGGTAGACCCTTGGTTGCCCTTAAATTCAAAAAAGCAATCCTAAGCACAAAAAGGTTCCACTCACGTAGAAGATCTGGTCCCTTAGTTCATTGGCTACTTGGAAGATACAGAGATCAATAACCATGTTAACCTGACTTCAAGCAGGGGCAAGTGCATGTTACAGTCTGTAAGGCACATCCTGTCCTGAACAGTCCAGAGAAATCTCTACGTTAAATGTAATTGTGACTCCACTAAAGGCAGCATAGTGTGCAGACAGTTCTCCATTAATTTGCTGTCAGGAAGTAAAGATCTCACCTAAGCAGTTTTGCTTTGCTCTGCAATGAGTCCAAGATTTCAATTTTTTTATTCATGGCAGTAATTTCCTGCTCAAGATTCTCCCGTGTGACGTCCACCTGCTGACACAAGTGAGCAAATGTTCCAGCAAGCTCCCTAGAAAAACAGAGAGAGGCAGGAAAGCGGAGAGCTCAGACTCAGAAGATACTTACACTGTGCAATGATTTCATTATCCCACCTCCAGAAAGCCTAGCCTGATACTCTCTTCCCATTTCAGCGTTAGAACGTTGCAGTCATTGGGCAACAGGGAATTTACTGCATGTTCTGAACAGTAGCACAGGAACCTCAGAATTTTATGTTCTCAACAATCCTGAAGAGTTCATGCTTCTGTTTAAAAACACCCTGTTACTATGACAACAGGTGCTTTAGAAACACATGTGAAAGTTTCAATGCTTGCTTGTCCATCGCTGACAATTTTAGACCTGGAGCTTAGACTATGTACAGACCTATCATGTGAGGATAAACAGCTGGCATTATATGGCTCAGTGGAGAGTACCTTCAAAAACAATGTTGTTTAGAAGAGATTAGTTGAATTGAGACAACTCACTGTTGGACTTGGTGGCTGCAGTTGGAGCCTGTGTAGCTGACAATGAGCTGCAGTTTCTCACTTGCGTACTCCACAAACTGGCGCTTGAAGGCTCTCTCCTTTGCTTTCATAGTCCAAGTGAGGCGCTCATATACATAAAGGAGTCCATAAAGGCCAAAAGAGAGAGCAATCAGTCTCCAACCCACAGCCTTCCAGACCTGTAATAAGCACAGCAGAAAGGTAGCAAAACTGAGCAGCCAAGAACAATGCTAACTTCTTACAGTGGAACAGAAAGCATTGTACATTTGTTCCAAGTGCAGGGCACTGAGCCATGAATGTTCAAGTTTTAATCCTGACTTAAAGGGAAAGGGAAATCACCTCTCTTCTGCTGGTTTCCAACCTGTCAAGCATATTGTGAGGACGAATATGCATAAAACACTGGAACAAGGTCTGTAAGTGTGCATCTAGACAGCACCCTTCTGTTGGAATAAGCTACGCAATTTGTGCTATGCAAATTGCATAGCTTATTCCAAGTCAAAGTCAAGAGAGCTTATTTTGAAATTTGGTGCTGTCTACATAGTGCCGAATTTCAAAATAAGGCACTATTCCAACAAAACCCTTTTACAGGGACGCCAGAATAGCACGTCTGCTATTTCAGGATACTCCCGGTATCCTGTCTTCTGACAGTGGCCAATGCCAGGTGCCCCAGAAGGACTGAACAGAACAAGGATTCATCAAGTGATCCCTCTCCTGTCAGCCTCTTCTTGTCAGGGGCTGGAAAAGGCTAGAGACACCATTCCTACCCATCCTGGCTAAGTATTCATGGGCCTATTCTCCATGAATATATCTAGTTCCTTTTTGGTTTTATATAGAGGCAATAAAAAAGCAAATAGAATGTTAGGAATCTTTAAAAAAGGGATAGAGAATAAGACTGAAAATATTTTGACTGTTGCTGCACATTGAGTGGATGATCCACAATGATTCCAAGATCTCTCTCTCGAGTGGTTATAGCTAAATTAGTCCCCATAATTTTTTATGTACAGTTGGGATTATTTTTCCACTGTGCATTACTTTGCATTTACCAACATTAAAAATCATTTGCCATTTTGTTGCTCAATCACCTAGTTTTGTGAGATCTTTTGGAAGCTCTTCACAGTCTGCTTTGTTTTTAGCCATCTTGAATAGTCTAGTATCATCTGCAAATTTTGCCACCTCACTGTTTAACCTATTTATAAATGATATGAAGAAAGGGGTAAATAGGATTGGTCCCAGTACGAACCCTTGGGGGGACACCACTAGTGACCTCTCTCCATTCTGAAAACAGACCATTTATTCCTAGACATAAGAACAGAAGAATGACCATACTGGGTCAGACCAAAGATCCATCCAACCCAGTATCCTGTCTGTCAGCAGTGGCCAATGCCAGCTGCCCCAGAGGGAGTGAACAGGCAATGATCAAGCGATCTCTCTCCTGCCATCCATCTCCACCCTCTGACAAACAGAGGCTAGGGCCACCATTCCTTACCCATCCTGGCTACCAGCCATTAACGGACTTAACCTCCATAAATTTATCTAGTTTTCTTTTAAAACCTGTTATAGTTCTAGCCTTCACAACCTCCTCAGGCAAGGAGTTCCACAGGTTGACTGTGCGCTGTGTGAAGAACTTCCTTTTATTTGTTTTAAACCTGCTGCCCATTAATTTCATTTGGTGTCCTCTAGTCCTTATATTATGGGAACAAGTAAATAACTTTTCCTTATTCACTTTCTCCACACCACTCACGATTTTATAGACCTCTCTCATATCCCCCTTTAGTCTCCTCTTTTCCAAACTGAAAAGTCCTTGTCTCTTTAATCTCTCCTCGTATGGGACCCGTTCCAAACCCCCTAACTTTACTTTGGTGAGGGACTTTGTTAAAGATTTTCTGGAAATGTAAGTACATCTCGTGATTTCTTATATTTTGGATGCCCAGCCTGAGGCATCCAGAGCTTATTTTTGAAGGTGCTAAGCACCTACAACTTCCAGTCACTGGGAGTTGGGGAGCACTCAGCACCTCTGGGGGAAAGAAGTAAGCCCAAAATGTCTGAAGTTGCGAATTCTAAAAATTAAAGTATACAAAATCACAGGCTGATTGTAAAAATTTCAGCCTCTACCTCCCTCTTAGTTTCTTCGTCAGTGAAACAGAAATACTTATGGTACCTGCCCCCCAGACTGAGAAGTGTTGTAAATATGTTTGTAAATGCTTTCAAAGTGCTATTTTCTTTTTCTTAACCTTGAGTCCATCTCCAAACTTCAAGTGCAATAAGCTCAGGAGCTCTTCCCCTTTTAATGCTCCTTGGGATGGGACACTCACCCTGTGCTCCAAGATGGATGAATACACCATCAGTTACTCACTGAAGCCTGGAGTCTAAATACTTTCCAAATCAACAGCACAATTACCACTGTACCAACAACTGTTCATTGGAGATTTTCAACCCACCACTCCACCAACGACAAGGATCCCCATGGAAGTTCTGGAAGTCAGTGATGCCAATCCAGTCACCATGGACACCATCAGCTCTTCTTGGGTCATAGAGCTCTGAGGTAAGGGAGGCAGACTAGGATTTGCTGGGGTTAAAGGTAAAGGTCGTTGCACCTAATCAGAATGGAGGGGGGGAAAAAAAAACACAGATAAAAGGAGAATGCAAGTCATAGCTGTTTCTTTCAAAGCTTTGAGAGCCACTGAAGTTTTCAGTAAAACCCAGTATCTAATTAGAGGTTGTACCTGGTCATTATAGCCCATCAAGGCCCGGCGACTATTCTTTGGTCCCAAAAACCTATTCACAAGCATCGTCCAACCAAGAGAAAAATGGAATTCAACATCCTCCTGGAAGTCAGCACAAAGCTTGTCACAGTTCAGATCATAGCTGAGCATGAAGCACTGCCGAGGGATCAGCATGTCTATTTGACCCCGTAGAGAGACCGGCAGTAGGGGCTTTAAACCATCTGCACAGAAGAGAAACGGGAGAGGATGGGAGATAATGTCAGTATAACTGAGAAGGATGAATGGGGCCATCTGGAATCAGGCTTTCAGTTCTGTGGTCACCTTGTTTATCAGTTTGTTTCTCTTTTTAAAAAAAACTACTTCCTCACCTAACCCACACCAACTGGTAGGATCTGAAATGTATTATGGCCAAATATGGCATCAAGGTCCCCAGAACAGCCAGTCACTCTCCAACTTTCCATTTCATAGACCACTAAGAGATCTTTCTATGGACCCTTCCCTTGTGCCTCCCCCTACCCCCCACAGTTAACTAGACGGATCTATCGACCACAGCAGCCCAAAAATGTAATACAGCAGCTGCTAGAGGCATTGTTGACCCCCTCCATCATAAGTTAGCACGTGCTCCGACATTAGAAGCTGCAAATGCATCAAGTCTCCACCGTTTGGTTTTATTTAAAACAAATGGCCACTATTTGCCTTGACCACTCTAAACCCTGAACTAGGTTTTATAAAATAATTTTGAAACTACTTCAAGAAAAAGTATGGTTCCTGACAGCTGTGGGCGGGAAGTTTGTTAGAGCAACTGGCAAAACTCCCCTGCAGTGGGACTAATTGAAAATACTGTAAGTTACGCATGTCAGTCTCAAACATTTTTGCTGTAACACGGAGAAGATTCCTATGCCTGCCATGAGGTCTCATCCTGAGCATCAAGATCTGCAAGCTTTTTACCTAGCACCACTGTATTCTCATGGCATAAACCTCATTAAACGTCCTATTGTTTTTGAAATGTTATAGAACAAACTGCTCTCAGGCAGAAGAGGTGGGTGTGAAGTTTCAATCTAGAATGAGTTTCATGACATGGAAACCCCCTGAAACAGGTATTTACAAAGGGCCATGTAGACATTCTGAATTACAGTCTCATTAAACAAGGCACTATTACTTGAGAAGTTGCCACTAATTTATCAGCCCTCACAACTAATCTAAACCTACACGGACACAGTTGCCATGCTGGACTTATTCACGTTTGTCTGTAGCAAGAGCTGGTTCTTTACACTCTGTACTGACCTATCATTTCTTGTTGCATGGTTTGGAGGGAAGCAGTAATGGCATTAGAGCAGCGATCAGACATGTTGCGGCCTAGCCCCTCCTCAATGTGTCGATGCAGTTCCTGAAACAAACACAAAACAAAGGCTGGCATTGAAGCAAATCCAGACACAACATGTATTACTTTCCTAACTCCTCATTAACAGCAAGAACTGGAATCTCCCTAAACAGGAAATTCTTCAAAATAAGAAATCGTTTCCCGAAATAGGAAACAGATTCTGTCCGCCCCCAATCCCTTCTGCTGTTAAAGTTAGTTCAGTATTGCCCTACTGGGAAATGATGTGGTCAAGAAGAGCAGAAATGACCATATGCCCTCTGGTTTGGGGAAAATGACAAGTTTTAATCTACCCCTTACTACGTTCAAAAAGATACTAGGTAATTAGTGCCTACGTAATTAATATCATGTCCTGCAATTAAATAGTATGTATTATGAGTCTGTTACAACTAGGTTTGTCTGGAAAACCCCTGCTCTTTTCTTGGGATGTAATGAAACTCTCAAAGCATAAAAGAGACAAATATGAACAAACAATTTCCGTACTACAAAAGAACTGTGCCTACACCTTCTGCATTTGAAAGTTTGGGTTTTTCAACAGCTGGTGCAATTACTGAGTTATCAGAGCAAGAACCAAATTGCTTGGATAGTTGGCCCAATATATTAAAAGCCAGTGTTTGTTACTCACATTCTTGTAAACTTTGAGAACAACTGGAGATGGATGGAAATCCATTTGGTAGTCATCTACCAGCACTGAGAGCCGCCTGATCTCTTCCGCCATTGCATTTGACACCTGAAAAAGCAACCATGTACTGTGCATACAGGGTTCTCTGGAACGTTAACAGAGAAAACTCAAGACTATTCCAAGGATAGCTGAAAAAGCTAGTGGAAAAATTGATTTGCTCATAAGCATTAACACAGAGATAAGCCAGTTATTCTGACAGCTATAAATTCTCCATTATGTACTTTCTAGCATAAGGGACTACAACCTATGGCTCAGTATGAAACCCAAAATATCTTGTCATTCCTGAAAGAGATGCAACCCGCAGGATTTGGTGGTGATGGGGGACTTCAACTATCCAGACATCTGTTGAGAAACTAACACAGCGGGGAACAGACTATACAATAAGTGCTTGGACTGCATTGGAGACAACTTTTTATCTTTTTATATTTCAGAAGGTTGAAAAAGCTGTTGGGGGGAAGCTATTCTAGATTTGATCCTAACAAATAGGGAGGAGCTGATTGAGAATTTGAAAGTGGAAGGCAGCTTGGGTGAAAGTGATCATGAAATCATAGAGTTCATGATTCCAAGGAATGGTAGAAGAGAGAAAAGCAAAATACAGACAATGGATTTCAGAAAAGCAGATTTTGGTAAGCTCAGAGAGCTGGTAGGTAAGGTCCCATAGGAAGCAAGACTAAGGGAGAGTTGGCAGTTTTTCAAAGGGATGTTATTAAGGGCCCAAAAGCAAGCTATTCCACTGAGTAGGAAAGAATGAAAGTATGGCAAAAGACCGCCGTGGCTTAACCAGGAGATCTTGAATGATCTAAAAATAAAAAAGGAGTCATATAAAAAGTGGAAACTAGGACAAATAACAAAGGATGAATATAAGTGAACAATACAGGTATGCAGGGGCAAGATTAGAAAGGCAAAGGCACAAAACGACCTAGAACTAACTACAGACAAAGGGTAAGAAGACGACTTTCTATAAATATATTAGAAGCAAGAGGAAGACCAATGACAGGGTAGGCCCATTGCTCAGTTAGGAGGGAGAAACAGTAACTAGAAATTTGGAAATGGCAGAGGTGCTTAATGACTTCTTTGTTTTGGTCTTCACCAAGAAGTCTGATGATGAAGGAATGCCTAACAGAGAATACTAGTGGGAATGGGGTAGGTTTAGAAGATAAAATAAAAAAAGAACAAGTTAAAAAATCATTTATAAAAGTTAGATGTCTGCAAGTCACCAGGGCCTAATGAAATGCATCCTAGAATACTCAAGGAGCTGATAGAGGAGATATCTGAGCCTTTAGCTATCATCTTTGAAAAATCATGGAAGATGGGAGAGATTCCAGAAAACTGGAAAAGGGCAAATATAGCGCTCATCTATAAAAAGGGAAATAAGAACAAACCAGGAAACTACAGACCAGTCAGATTAAACTTCTGTGCCAAAAAAGATAATGAAGTAATTAAGGAATTCATCTGCGAACACCGGGACGATAATAGGGTGAAAGGTAACAGCTAGCATGAATTTATAAAGAGCGGATCATGTCAAACCAATCTGATAGCTTTCTTTGATAGGATAACGTCGGGGCACTAAGGGTGTGTTGATTTGTTCCTGTACTTGTGTAGGGAGTGTCCTGAGCAGATGGTGCAGTTTCTTAGTTTTTTCTCAGTGGGATCTGAGGAAAGTGTCCTGTGGAATTTGGTGTTGGAGAGTTGTCTGGCAGCCTCCTTTTGGTAGTCAGGCCTGTTCATGATGACAACAGCACCTCCTTTATCAGCCTCTCTGATTCTATAACATCAGAGTTGTTTGAGGCTGTGGAAGGCATTGCATTCTGCACGATCAAGGTTGAGGCAAGCGATGCTGTTTTTCCACAATTTCTGCCTGTGCACATCGGCAGAAGCATTCTATGTGTAGGTCCAGACTGTCATTTCAACCCTCAGGAGGAGTTCATGTGGAGCTCTTCTTCTTGTGCTGTTGGTGGGAGGGTATCTGTGTGTCAGTGCGCTGTTCAGTGTTGTGTTGAAAGTATTCTTTGAGTCGGAGACAGCGAAAGTAGGTGTCCAGATCACCGCAGAACTGTATCTTCCTCAGCTCTCATCCACTAATGCCCCTTCTCTACCTATGCTACATTGATGACATCTTCATCATCTGGACCCATGGGAAGGAGATTCTGGAAGAATTCCACCACTATTTCAACAGCTTCCACCTCACCATCAACCTCAGCCTGGACTAGCCTACACAAGAGATCCACTTCCTGGACACCATGGTGCAAATAAGAGATGGTCACAAACACCACCCTATACCGGAAACCTACAGACTGCTATGCCTACCTTCATGCCTCCAGCTTCCAACCCGGACACACCACATGATCCACTGTCTACAGCCAAGCACTAAGGTACAACCGCATCTGCTCCAACCCCCTCAGAAAGAGACCAACAGCTACAAGATCTTTACCAAGCATTCTTGAAACTACGATACCCGCAGGAGGAAGTGAGGATTCAGATTAACAGAGCCAGACATGTACCCAGAAGCCTCCTACTACAAGAGAAGCCCAAGAAAGAAACCAACAGAACGCCACTGGCCATCACCTACAGTCTTCAGCTAAAACCTCTCCAACGCATCATCAGTGATCTACAACCCATCCTAGACTATGATCCCTTGCTTTCACAGGCCTTGGGAGGTAGGCCAGTCCTCGCCCACAGACAAACCGCCAACCTGAAGCAAATTCTCATCAGCAACTATACACCGCACCACAGTAACTCTACCTCAGGACCAATCCTTGCAACAAACCTCAGTGTCAACTCTGCCCTCATATCTACACCAGCAACACCATCACAGGACCTAACCAGATCAGCCATACCATCACTGGTTCATTCACCTGCACATTTACCAATATAATATATGCCATCATGTGCCAGCAATGCCCCTCTGCTACACACATCGGCCAAGCTGAACAGTCCCTACGTAAAAGAATAAATGGACACAAATCAGGTATTAGGAATGGCAATATACAAAAACCTGTAGGAGAACACTTCAATCTCCCTGGACACACAGTAGCAGATTTAAAAGGTAGCTATCCTGCAGTAAAAAAAAAAAAAAAAAAAAAAAAAAAAAAAAAAAAAAACAAAAACAACACTTAAAAAAAAAACACAGGTGCTTAAGATTAAACAAAGACTGTGAATGGCTAGCCAAGTACAAAAGCAGTTTCTCCACTCTTGGTGTTCACACCTGCACATCAGCTGCTAGAAGTGAGCCTCACCTCCCTGAATGAATTAACTTAGTTATCTCTAGCTTTATTCTGGCCTGCATATTTATACCTGCCTCTGGAAATTTCCACTACATGCATTTGACGAAGTGGGTTTTGCCCACGAAAGTTTATGCTCCAATACATCTGTTAGTGTATAAGGTGCCACAGGACTCCTTGACACGTTCTCAAAAAGTTGTTATAAATGGTTCACAATCCTGCTGGAAGGGCATAATAAGTGTGGTTCCGCAGGGGTCTGTTTTGGGACAGGCTCTGTTCAATATCTTCATCAACGATTTAGATATTGGCATAGAGAGTACGCTTATTAAGTTTGCAGATGATACCAAGCTGGGAGGGGTTGCAACTGCTTTGGAGGATAGGGTCATAATTCAAAATGATCTGGATAAACTGGAGAAATGGTCTGAGGTAAATAGGATGAAGTTTAATGAGGACAAAAGCAAAGTACTCCACTTAGAAAGTAACAATCCGTTTCACACATACAGAATGGGAGGCGACTGTCTAGGAAGGAGTACTGCAGAAAGGGACCTCGGGGTCAGAGTTGACCACAAGCTAAATATGAATCAACAGTGTAACACTGTTGCTTTAAAAAAAAAAAAAAAAAAAAAAAAACAACAACAAAAAAATATTTGGGGGCGAATATGAATCAACAGTGTAACACTGTTGCTTTAAAAAAAAAAAAAAAAAAAAAAAGCAGCAAGCAAACATGATTCTGGGATGCAGTAACAGGAGTGTTGTGAGCAAGACACGAGAAGTCATTCTTCCGCTCTACTCTGCGCTGATTAGGCCTCAATAGGAGTATTGTGTCCAGTTCTGGGCACCACATTTCAAGAAAGATGTGGAGAAACTGGAGAAAGTCCAGAGAAGAGCAACAAGAATGATTAAAGGTCTAGAGAACATGACTTATGAAGGAAGACTGAAAGAATTAGTTTGAAAGGAGAAGACTGAGAGGGGACATGATAGCAGTTTTCAAGTATCTAAAAGGGTGTCAAAAGGAAGAGGGAGAAAAATCGTTCTCCTTGGCCTCTGAGAATAGGCCAAGAAGCAATAGGCTTAAACTGCAGCAGGTGAGGTTTAGGCTGGACATTAGGAAAAACTTCCTAACAGTCAGAGTGGTTAAACACTAGAATAAATTTCGTGGGAAGGTGGTGGAATCTCCATCTTTGAAGATATTTAAGAGCAGGTTAGATAGACGTCTATCAGGGATGGTCTAATCTGGACAGTATTGGGTCCTGCCGTGAGGGCAGGGGACTACACTTGACCTCTCAAGCTCCCTTCCAATTCTAGTGTTCTAGAATTCTATTAAATTAAAGCGAAAAATTAATTCAAAATTTTAGAAACACATAATTACTCATGTAGCTTGAATGCATGCATGAACCTGAATTTGACCAGTTATGATGTAAGCCTTAAAGAAACGTGCGAAAAGACGCAGCAGCAGAAATCACATTAAATAAAGTAGGTGAGTACAATGTTCTATTTACGCTATTATTAATCATTTCAATTCTCAATAATATTAAATGTATATTTTCAGCCATGCAATTGGACATTCTTATACAGTTCGTTGGCCACTTGTTCTGAATTTTGATGTAGTTTGGCTCTTTGGTTTGAAAGGTGGCTGACCTGTTCTAGAAGAATCGTTGTAGCTTCAATGCTTATTCAGCCTGTTGTGTTCCCAGCTCCTTATCTGCCGCCCGTCTGTCTTCCAGTCAGCCCTTTACATCTCTCCTTTCATCCCTCTGATTGGCCTCTAGACCAAGAAAGCATCTGTTCCTTACCTGTCTCTCCACTTCTTCTGTGATCTGTTTTATTTTCCCCTTGTAGTCTTGAGTGAGCAGCTCCAGTTGTTTGTCAATAAAACCCAAGCGTTCCTGTCGTTCCTCTCGCATCTCCAGGCAATAAACCCTGAGGAAAGAAGATGCCCATCACAAAGCAGCATCAGCACATCTCTGATCTGCAAGCTAAATGGAATCCTTGAGTTAAAACATTTGGAGGGAGCAGAAATTCTCTTTCCCAGGGACAGGCAGTAATAATATCCAAGACATACTACACACAACTGGCATGCTGAAGAGATAGGTTTCTCCACAATAATACATTAGACACAGGAGTAGTAGTCTGTGTCCTCCTGTCCCCAGAAGTTTTGTATGCCGTATTGTGATTTTAAAAGCAAAGGCCTAAAACTCATGTTTCCCAGACTCCCTCCTTCCCAGATATATTCAGTGCAACCGTCAGTCTTGTGTGCACCGCATCTCTGCAGCTGCTCACCTCTGCTCCTGGGCAGCAATATGCAAAGAGTCCATGATTAGGCGAACATCTTCTGCAATCTGCTTGGCTCTCACGGTGTGCTGCTCAAACTTTGTTTTCACTGCAGACTGCGAGATACATTCCTGTGCACACAGAAGCAGCCATCAGCAGAGACTAAGGATATTAAATTGCATTTAATCAACTAATCGAGTAGTCGATGGAATTTCCATCCACTACTCAAGTAGTCGATAAGGGGAGAAACTGCAGAGCCGCAGCGGTGTTAGCTCCCATCCCCAGGAGCTAACTCTGCTATAGCTCTGCCTCTTAAATGCAGTAAGAGTTGGGTGTACTACATTTAAGAGGCAGAGGTGCAGCACAGGATCCCATGGCTCTTACTATATTTAAAAAGCAGAGGTGCAGCGTCTGGGACTGGACATGAGCCAGGACAGCTGAGTTCCAGCTCACGCCTGGTCCCTTGCTGTGCCTCTGCATCCCTGTGGCGACGGTGCTGGGGGAACCGGCTTTTAAGCTGGCTACCCCCAGCACTGTCTCTGCTCCCCCCACCCTTGCTGCCTCTTTCAGAGGCAGCAAAGATGGGGGGAGGGGGAGAGAAGAGAAACAACTAGTTGAGTAGTGACGTGACTACCCAATAAACCTAGGCTTATCGGGTAGTCGACTACTCAACCAGTCTCTTACATCCCTTGCAGAGACCAGGGGCATTAAACATAGAACATCATTCCTACACCATTTATCATCAAAACACAGCATTAGCTCAAAGTTACAGGCTCCATTCTCCCCATCCTCACCCCTCCCTCAGAGGACTCTCTCTCAAACAGAAGCTTGGTAATGAATGATGATGTTTACCTCAAATCTTCTCTCGAAGTTTTGAAACTCAAACATTCTTACTTGAAATCCTTCTGCCAATGCTCCACCTAGGAGGACACACAGTCACCAGGGCACATTTACAGAAAGCAAACAGAGAATTTGAAGGACCCAAAAGAAAAGCAGAAAACTCTGGAGAGCTGGTTCTAGTAGCCTGCCAGATATCTTCTTGTTTAATTTAGGCTTCTTTTCTCTCCCCTAGTTTCTAGTGAAATCACCAATTCATTATTTGGGATAAGATAATCTCTGCCTTTCCACACAAATGTAATCAAAGACAGCTGGCAGTTCTCCTACCTCCTTCTGGCATCCCTTGAGCTTTCTGGATCCTGGCATTGAGCACTTCCTTCGCTGATACAAAGAAGATGCGGTCTCCAGCCTGCGCCCTATCCACCACACCCAGCTCATCCACTAGAAAACTGGTGCAGCGCTCCATGTGCTGTCGACGGACCTGAAGGATAAACCCATCCGTATTGTTTTAAAGTTGGTTTTCCCTTTGATATTTACATACCCTCTGCTTCTTGTTTCCTGCCCCCTTCCATTTTTTTCCCTTTCCCCCTCTCACCCTTCTTCCCCATTTATTTTGGGTCTGGACGTCCTAAACTCAAAACTCCGGTCATCTGAAGAAGTGGGTGGTGCCCACGAAAGCTCATGATACCACCTACATGTTTTGTTCATCTATGAAGTACTACCAGACTATTTGTTGGGTTTTTTTAAAGTTTATCCTGTACAGACAAACTTGGCTACCACCTGAAGCTTAATAATCTACATCATTGCAATTAACTGGATCAGGCAACCAATGCCCTCTGTAGGTGCTATATAGCAACACAAGTTTACAATAAAATCAATTTGCTCATTTTAGTTCCTTTGAAGGTCTCAAAGCACATTTCACACACTAAGCTTCCTAAAGCCGCTGTGGCATAATTAAATAAAGTTAACCCACATTCACAAATACATAAACATAGGATGTAGACATATAGTGACCTTTCCCTGACCCCCAAAAAATGTCAGTGACAACAGGAACTCAGAAGTTCTGCATACCAGGATCCTTGCTCTAACCATTAGACCATACTTTCTTCAGCCCCTTTTTTCCAAATGACTCCTTATTATGATGAGTAAAGTTCAAACTGCAAGAGAATCATCACCCATTACCACTAGTTGTTCCACTCAAAGAGTGTCTATTGTATATGAGAGCACCAATTTAAATGTGGCACAAACCTCTTCCATGTATTCAGGTTCTGAAGCTGATGCATCCCAGCGGTTATTCAGGATAAAAATGTTGGGGCGAGATAGACGCTCATTCACTTTGTGGAAGAACTGCTTCTCCTAAACAAACAAATCACACATCAATATGCAAAATGCAAAGCGTTTACCCCAAACCTGCAAGCATTTACAAGTGGAATTTGAGTTACCGTTTGCATCAGTGTGGACTCAGAGTTTGCCACCAACACAAATACATCTGCATCCAGACAAAACTTGTCAATCCAGCTGTCTAGCTCTGTGGTTACATCAATGCCGGGGCTACAGGTAACAGGAAAACAGATGTCACTAGAGCTACGAAACTTCAAAAATATCATTAGTCCGAATTTCTCCTAAGAAGAAAGAAGCACATTGCATTTTCTTACGAAAGAGGTTTTCAAAGGGCGTAGGTGCTTAGTGCAGCTAATGTTCACACTGTGTTACTTAGTTCAGGAAATGAAAGGAATTAAAGTGACACTCCATCTGCATTTCTCAGTTCTGCTTCCAGGTCCCTTCATGGCAGAGGCTCTATGGAAAAAGTGAAGTCTCTCACCTGTCCATAAGCACCAGATCATCCTTTAGAAGAGGACATTTGGAATTGGGCCACATTACACTGACCAGGCTGCCAGCATTCAAAAGTTCGTTTTGATGGAGAGCATGAGCCAGCTGGTTGACTGTCTGTCAAATGGAAGGAAGGGAGAAAAGTGTGCCAGGAGTATCTTACTACATATTTTAGAAATGTGCATCTGTCTGTTTGCCTGGGAGACGAATTCTACTAGAACTCCTACTATATGCTAAGAGCTAGAACCACCAAATTTGGTAGGCAGTTTCCTTTTATCATAACTTAAAGCAAAGCCAGGGTTTGTTTGTGCAAAGAAAAAAAAAGGGATGCATCTGGAATTAGACTGTTTCCACAAAATGGAAAGGAAGGGATCTGGTAGGAGGGAATTAGACCAGACCACAAAATGATCACAGGGGAGCAGCAAGGGGTCAGAGATGGGGACAAGGACAGCTAACACCCAATTGGGCCAGCAGGGGGCAGGAGTGGCAAAAGGGATAGCTATCTACAGTAAACTTCCAGTAAACCGGCACCTATAGGACCAAGAGGGTGCTGGATAATCAGATATGCCGGACTATGGGAAGGGGGAGGCTATGAGGGGTCTGGGGTGGGGGGATGCCCCCCCAGACCCCTCATA